CCTTCTGCCCTGGCCTGGGGGGTCAAGAAAAGCACCTGCACCCCCAAATAATCACATCCTGATACTCACAGTCTCCCATCCAGACGCCCCCTTGAGGGGTGTTTTAGGCAATAATACACAAATCTCAAGCAAATAGCAAGCAAAACCCCCAAAGGCACCCAGAGCCAGAATCCTAGCACAGCGGGGAGGGCGTTGGCCTGGCACACGGCTGACCTGGGCTGGGTCCCCGGCATCGCTTAGGGTCCCCTGAGCACCGCCAGGAGTGATCCTTGAGCACTGCAGGTGTGGGTACACACACACACACCCCTAAGTGTATTTTAAAATGGGCCAAGGTCCCACCCAACCTGAATAAATGCACCCTGTCACCATTCGTGAGCTATATGGTGGGGGAGGGGGGTTCTTCTACCAGCACGGGGGATACCCACAGACAGTCGGTCTCTGAGCAGGCTCAGACCCCATGGTGGCGCCCCGCATGGGGTCTGCTGCCAGGCTGATCATCTGTCCCCAACTTTATGTATTTTTATTTCTTTTTTATTTTTTCTTAACGTTTTTATTGAACCACTGTGAGATAGACGCTTACAAAGCTGTTCATGGTTGGGTTTCAGTCACACAGTGCTCCAACACCCGTCCCTCCACCAGGGCACATTTCCCAGCACCAGGGTCCCCAGGGTCCCTCCCATCACCCCCCACCACCTGCCTCTATGGAAGGGGCCTCTCTCTCTGTGTCTCTCTGTCTCTCTATGTTTCTGTCTCTATCTCTGTCTCTCCTTTTGGGCATTGTGGTTTGCAATATTGATACTGAAAGGTTATCCAGAATATTCCTTACCTACTTGTAACCCTCAGCTCTTGCCCAGCGTGACCCTTCCCAACTATTACGGTCACCCTGGTCCCTTTTCTCTCTCACCCACCCTCAGCCCCACACACCCTTGTGGTCAGTTCCAACCACTGACCAGTCCTCCCAGCCCGTTTCCCCTGGCCGTGGATATTAGTCTTCTACTATAATTTTTTTTCTGCTTTTTTGGTCCCACCCAGCGATGCTTAGGGGTTCCTCCTGGCTCTGCACTCAGGAATTACTCCTGGCCGTGCTCAGGGGACCCTATGGGATGCTGGGAATCGAACCCAGGTCGGCCGCGTGCAAGGCAAACGCCCTACCTGCTGTGCTATCGCTCCAGCCCCGACTATAATTTCCCATACCCCACAAATGAGTGTGATCATTCTATATCTGTCCCTCTCCGTCTGACTCATTTCACTCAGCATGATACCCTGCATGTCCATCCATGTAGAGGCCAATACTATCCTGACAGCTGCATAGTATTCCACTGGGTCGATTCCAGATTTCATGTCTTAAGCACCTTGTTTATTTTTTTGCTTCACTCCCGGCGATGCCCAGGGGTTCCTCCTGGCTCTGCACTCAGGAATTACACCTGGCAGTGCTCGGGGGACCCTGTAATAGGATGCTGGGGATCGAACCTGCGTCAGTTGCATGCAAGACAAAAGCCCTCCCCGCTGCACTATTGCCCGGGCCCATTAAGCACCTTATTTTAAAACCCAATGACCCTGAGTGACATGCCCAGAAGCAGGTCTCAGAGGAGAGCAACACGGGGCATCCGAACTGCATCGGGAGAGAAACGCTCTGTAAACTTCATTACATGCCAGAGCTAAAGCCCTCGTCTGGCGCACAGCTGACCCGAGTTCCAGGCTCAGCACCAAGCTGGCTCTTCACCCCCCATCAGGAGTGATTCCTGAGAGCAGAGCCAGAGGTTAGCTCTGAGCACTGCCCCTTGAGCCCTCCAAATCACGCCCCTCCAAAAAACCCGAACCATTACACTGTCCAGCAAAAGGAGAACCCACGCATTCCACCAAGCTATTTCTCTGAACTGCAGACTCTTCCTTAACCCGGGTCCTGGCACTGCAGAAAATAATTCTCAGGGTCCTAGGTCCACTCAAGGCCATTGCCCACTTCTGCCCAAGCGGACGGAAGTTCAGTGCCGGGGACACAGACCCAGGCATCCCCTGCCCACGTGACTAAAGGCAGGGGCCAGGTGCGGAGGCCTGAAGCTTGTGTAGAGCTGTCTCCAGTGCTTCCGGTTAGTTCCAAGGCCACCCCGTTGGGGTCCCGGAGTGTCCAGCAGGGTGGGCACTGGACTCAACCCCCAGCACCTCACAGGGTCCACCAAGTCCTCCAGGAGTGACCTCCGAGCACAGCGGCAGGAGTCAACCCCCAGACCCGAACAAAGCAAACACCACTCTCTTGCTCCACCGGGCAACAGAACCTTCTGGAAGGTGGAATTAAGCTCCGGGCCTCAGCTGCAGGCTCAGCCTGGCTGAGCTGGACATTTCTGCCCCCTGTCCAGTCATGCCCCGCTAACACTCCGATGGCCCAGACCTGGACACCCATGGGCACAGCCCGGCCAAGACCACACGCATCCCGGCTGCCCCCCACAAGCTGAGCAGGACCTACCTGTCGGCCCGGGGTCCCCCGATGTCCAGCCAGTGAGTGAGCTGTCCACCCCATCCCCCGGAATCACAACCTCGGTGACCATCCTTACGGCAATGCCCAGCTTAGCTGCCTGCAAACGGAGCCCAGAGCCCCTGGGAGCTGGTTTCAACGGTTCTTCCACACCAGAAAGCCGGACCAGAGAGCGGGACCCACAAAGACCCCCGCGACAACCCTCGGCCCATCCCCAACGCAGGTGGTCCAGCCCCGAGAAAGCGCCTGATGCCAGCTCTACCCTGGACCGGCGTCCCATTGGTCGAGATCCGCAGAGGGGGCGGGGCCAGCTGCTCCGCGAGGCTCCTGATTGGCTGGGAGTTTTCCCGTTAGAGGCGCACCTGGGGTGAGATTCTTTGCCCAGATGTGCTCGGTGCCCTAACGAGCATCCAGGTGCGGCTCCCCCAAGGCGTCCGCCCCTGCACGTGACTGTTTCTTAAACCTTAAAACAAGGTTTGGAAGGAAAACCCCGGGAAGCTGGAGGCAACACTGTCTCCGATTCACAGACCAGGAAGCGAGAGTTTAAATCGCTTTATTGTAATTCCATAATCATCGGTCTTTTTTTTTTTTTGACTTTTTGGGTCACTCCTGGCAATGCACAGGGGTCACTCCTGGCTCTGCACTCAGGAATCACTCCCGGCGGTAGCTCAGGGGACCATATGGGATGCTGGGAATCGAACCCGGGTCGGCCACGTGCAAGGCAAACTCCCCACCCGCCGTGCTATCACTCCAGCCCCAATCATCGGTCTTTTGAGGGTGCAATAGGCTTACAGATTTTTTGCTGATTTTTTTGGTTATATTTTGGCGTTTGGGGGCGCCACACCTGGCTGTTCTCAGGACTTATTCCTGGCTCTGCACTCAGGAATCACTCCTGGCGGTGATCAGGGGACCCTATGGGATGCTGGGAATCGAACCCGGGTCGGCACATGCAAGGCAAACACCCTCCCCGCTGTGCTATCGCTCCAGCCCTGATTATAAGGTTTTTTTTTTTTTTTTTTGCTTTTTGGGTCACACCCGGCAATGCACAGGGGTTACTCTGGGTCATGCACTCGGGAATTACTCCTGGCAGTACTCAGGGGACCATGTGGGGTGCTGGGAATTGAACCCGGGTCAGCCGTGTGCAAGGCAAACGCCCTACCCGCTGTGCTATCGCTCCAGCCCCTGATTATAGGTATTTTTTTAAAGTCTCTGCACATTTAACCATAAAATGGATGCACAAGCCTCCATCGATATTAATAAACTTGGAAATTCAAAGCAGAGACTTGAGGAATTAACCAAATGCGCTCAGACTCTGAGTTTTAAACGTTTGGCAGTAAGATTGCCACGGGGTATAACTGTCAGTCTTATTCCCTAAATATTCTTGATCTCGCTTGTATATTTTGTGCGGTGGTGGATATCAACGAAGAATCTGTTGGAAATGCCTCAATTCCTTTCAGTAATCAGTATTTCGACATCGGTAGCAAATTCTCCGTTAAGGAATGGAGACACGGGAAATTCTGTCTCGCTGTGAGGTGAGGGGTTAAGAGACAGTAGGATGGGGCGGGAGCGATAGCACAGCGGGTAGGGCGTTTGCCTTGCATGCGGCTGATCTGGGTTCGATTCCCAGCATCCCATAGGGTCCCCTGAGCACCACCAGGCGTAATTCCTGACTGCATGAGCCAGGAGTCAGCCCTGAGCCAAATCCAATATATACATTAAATAAACGTATCGTGAATAATAACTAGTTTCACCGACTGTATGTTGACATCTTGTTATGTAACAACTATTACCGTATTACACAGATGAGCAGAGACAGATCCAGGGAGGTTTATGGGTTTGCTCAGCTCCCAGAAATCGGATGGGGTGGCGCTAGGGGCTGACACTTGGGGGCCTTGGAAAACTCCTGCCCGGAAGTTTCAGGGACAAAGTCAAATCGTGGGGTGCCCGGCTATACAGAGACTTACGGCGCCGTGGGCTCCCAGTGCAGGGAAAGACATTTTCCACCTTTGCAGTTTTCTGACAAGAGCCAAACTTGGAAGCAACGGAGGGGATGGAAGATTCCACCCAGCACTGACTCACGCAGCGTGCCACCGAGCCGGAGGACTGTCAGACAAGGCGGAGACGTCATTAATAACGGCCTGCTAGGAGAAAAAAAAGATGTGTCTGCACGCAGGGGCCCGGGGCTGACATCAGGCCGGAGACTTGAGTCCTGGGGGCAGCCTGGGCACCGGTTCCTAAGATGAGAGCGGGAGCCGTCACCATGGCAACCACTTGCCCTGGACCACGGCAGGCCCGCGGCTCTTTCTCCCCCACTCACCGCTTCCCACCCTTCCAAATCCCTCGCTGAATCTCTCTGCTCTCCCCCCCCCCCACACCCCTGGGTCGCCCTCAACAGACAAAGAGCAGCTTAGGCCGTTGTCAGGGTGCCGCGGTGTTGAGTTTGGACAGCGTTTCCAAACTCCTTTGAGATAGGAACCAGGTCCCCTTGGACAGCTGTGAGGAAATAGAATCATTTCAGACCGATGCCTAAGGTCGTTTCGGCAGCACCTAGGACTAAAATTGGAAGGATACAGAGGAGATTAGCATGGCCCCCTGTGCAAGGATGACACGCTACTTTGTGAAGCGTTCCATATTTTGGGACTGGAGCGATATAGCCCAGCGGGTAGGGCGTTTGCCTCGCACACGGTCGACCTGGGTTCGATTCCTCCGCCCCTCTCGGAAAGCCCGCAAGCTACCGAGAGTATCTCACCTGCATGGCAAAGCCTGGCAAGCTCCCCGTGACGTATTCGATATGCCAAACACAGTAACAACAAGGCTCACCATTTGTCGTGAGACGTTACTGGGCCCGCTCGAGCAAATCGATGAACAACGGGAGGACAGTGCTACCGTGATACAGTGCCTAAGGTCCAACGTTCAGGACCCGAGAGATAGAACGGGGGTGGGGGCGTGGGAGGGAGGGCACGCGGTCGACCCGGGTTCAGCGCCCCCTGAGTCCCGCCAGGAGTGATCCCTGAGTGCAGAGCCAGGAGTCACCGAAACAAACAGAAGAAGACACATTTCCGTCCAAAAGCAATTGAAATAAGTGAAAATGTTCTCTCTGGCCCTCATCCCCTGGAAAGTGGTGAGAAGGGAGGAAGGGGGTCTTCCAGATGCTTAAAACATCTTATTTGCCTTCAACTATGACACGTTGTTCCTCGTTCGAATTTTCCAAGTGAGGGACCCTGATTCCATTTTCACTCACTTTCCTAGAAGAAATTTGCATTTTCTTGTTCTTTTTTTTTTTTTTTTTTTTGCTTTTTGGGTCCCACCCGACGATGCTCAGAGCTGACTCCTGGCTCTGCACAGGAATTACTCCTTGGCGGTGCTCAGGGAACCCTATGGGATGCTGGGAATCGAACCCGGTCAGCCACATGCCAGGCCAACGCCCTCCCCGCTGTACTATTGCTCCGGCTCTTAGCTCCACCTGGGTATGGGATGACAAAATTATGCACTTCTTGAACAAAGAAGAAAACCGGATGGAGGGCCCCACAGCTCCCAGAGAATGCTCCGGGCCCCAAACAGAGCCGATATCACTGGGAGGTCCCAGATGGGGTAGGTGCTGCTGTCCCGCCTTCTCCAGATGGAACCCCGGTGACCATGAGTTTCTACAAGCATGGCTCTGGCATGCGGGTACCAGGACAATTTTTCCGCTATATAAGACATTTCCTTATATGCAAAGTGATCAACGGAAAGTAAATGACCCTTTCACAGAGGCAGGGTGGGACAGCAGAGATGGGGGTGGGAGGGATACTGGGACCCGTGGTGGTGGAAAATGGGCACTGGTGGAGGGATGGGTGTTTGATCATTGTACAATTGAAACCCAAGCACAACAATTTGTAAATCTACAGCTGTACCTCATGGTGTTATACTAACAAAAATTTAAAAAAGAAAACGTAAATGATGGAGACTGGGCGCTGGTGGAGGGATGGGTACTGGATCATTGTATAACTGAAACCCAAGCACAAAAACTTGTAAGTCTACAACTGTACCTCATGGTGTTTCACTAATAAAAATTTTTAAAAAATTTTGCACTTCTTGAAGAAGTGCTGTCTGAGCCATACTCCGAATTTCTCTCCTGGAAGATACTCAGAAGATTTCATTGGAGAATTCTTCTGCCCTTGCTGATAGGAGCTCAGGACAGCTCTGGCTGGGGGTGGTACCCCCACTCTTGCCAGTAATAAACAGCCTTAATAATAGCGTCTGGAGGGGCTGGAGCGATAGCACAGCGGGGAGGGCGTTTGCCTTGTACGTGGCTTGACCCGGGTTCGATCCCTGGCATCCCACAGGGTCCCCTGAGCACCGCCAGGAGTGATTCCTGAGTGCAGAGCCAGGAGTCAGCCCTGAGCATCCCCAGGTGGGACCCAAAAAGAAAAATAAATAAAAACTAGAAACCTAAAAGTCTTTTTCTTCAGCGGAGGAAGAGAACCCTTTTTCCCCTTGAAAATGTGAAATCAGGCCCCAGAAGGAGGAAAACCAGGGAACCTGTTATAGAACCCAGACTCCCTTTTCTATTTTAACAGCAAAAGAGATGTCGGTTTGGGGCTGGAGCAATAGCACAGCAGGTAGGGCATTTGCCTTGCATGCGGCCAACCCGGGTTCAATTCTCAGCATCCCATATGGTCCCCCGAGCACCGCCAGGAGTAATTCCTGAGTGCATGAGCCAGGAGTAACCCCTGAGCATCGCTGGGTGTGACCGAAAAAGCAAAAAAATAAAATAAAATAAAGGAGGGGGCTGGAATGATAGCACAGCGGGTAGGGCGTTTGCCTTGCACACAGCCAACCCAGGTTCAAGTCCCAGCATCCCCTAGGGTCCCCCGAGCACCGCCAGGAGTGATTCCTGAGTGCAGAGCCAGGAGGAACCCCTGAGCATCGCCGGGTGTGACCCAAAAAGCAAAAAAAAAAAAAAAAAAGGGAGAGAGATGTTGGTTTAATCAACTCTGCTCAGTTTCGTCTTCCCAAGCAGAGAACAATTTTAACACTCTTGGGTTGTGGCTTACAATCTCCTCATTAAGAAAGAGAAGTAAAAAATCCCCATCCGTCCCCTGAGATACTGGGGCAATAAGCCTGATGAACTCGAACTGGTTCCGAATCAATCACCCAACCTCAGAGGCCTCAGAATAAACGTGGCCGGGGAATTAGTTTTCATCTAGGCTCTGTGAAGAAATCACAAATCCAGCTTTGGAGCAGCGTGAGTTACTGACTGCACACAGATAGCCCGTTTGGAAAGCGTTTTATTTTCTTCGCCTTTATCTTCAGACGCTATTATATACTTTTTTGTTTGTTTTGTTTTGTTTTGTTGCTCTTTGGGCCACACCCAGCGATGCTCAGGGCTGACTTCTGGCTCTGCACTCAGGAATCACTCCTGGCGGTGCTCAGGGGACCCTAGGGGATGCTGGGAATTGAACCCGGGTCGGCCGTGTGCCAGGCAAACGCCCTACCCAGCTGTGCTATCGCTCCAGCCCCTGCCTTTAATTTCTTTTTTTTTTTCTTTTGGGTCACACCCGGTAATGCTCAGGGTTACTCCTGGTTCTGCACTCAGGAATTACTCCTGGAGGTGCTCAGGGGACCATATGGGATGCTGGGAATTGAACCCAGGTCGGCCACATGCAAGGCAAACGCCCTCCCCGCTGTGCTATCGCTCCAGCCCCCGCCTTTGATTTCTTGATATTTGTCCTGTATGTTTTCAAACTGACTTCACCTCCCTAAAATGACTCACCGTCTTTTGTCTTATCAATTTGTCAGGTCGTGCCCTGTGTCCCTTGCGTCCTCTTTCATTTCCTGTCAAGACTTATTTTGGCTGTTTATGGTTCTGTGAGGCCCTTAGAAATACATGCAATGGGGGCTGGAGCGATAGCACAGCAGGGAGGGCGTTTGCCTTGCACATGGCCAACCCGGGTTCAATCCCCGGCATCCCATAGGGTCCCCCGAGCACCGCCAGGAGTGATTCCCGAGTGCAGAGCCAGGAGTCAGCCCTGAGCATCACCGGGTGTAGCCAAAAAATAAAAAAGAGAGAAGAAATACATGCATTTTATTCAGCATTGCAAAGGCTTCCTGCCCGACAGCTCTACCATCGTGATATTGACTCTGAACTCTGTTTTTCTTCTCCTTTGCTTTTGGACAACACCTGGATCAGGGCTGACTCCTGGCTCTGCACTCAGGAATCGCTCCTGGCAGTGCTCCGGGGACCCTATGGGATGCCGGGGATCGAACCCGGGTCGGCCGCATGCCAGGCCAATGCTCTCCCCGCTGTCCCTCGCCCTGGTGCCTGATCTGTCTTTCCAGCTGAGTCTACCCTTCAAGTTCTTCCATCACAGTTTTTGAATTTTCTCCATGAGTTCTGCTCATCTTTGATCAAATTTTATTCCTTAACATGCCCAGAGGGTCTTGCTCATGATCAAATATTTTGTATAACATTTTTTCTTTTTTGCTTTTTGGGTCCCACCCGGCGATGCTCAGGGCTGACTCCTGGCTCTGCGCTCAGGAATCACTCCTGGTGGTGCTCGGGGGACCCTAGGGGATGCCGGGGATTGAACTCGGGTCAGCCGTGTGCAAGGCAAACGCCCTCCCCTCTGTGCTATCGCTTCAACCCCTATGTACAACATTTCTTTATAATATATATATTTCTCTGCCCAGACTGGATTATCTGTGCCTTCTCCCCCCGATCTTGGGGTGTCTTTCCTGAACCCCCTTCTGCCTTCATAACAGACCTGCAGAGCCCACTTTAAAAACCCACAAAACCATGAGAAAGTTCAGTTACTTTTCGCTTGAAATTTAGGGGCAATGCCTGCATCTTTCCTGTAGGTGGCAGCAGAGGGCTGCAAAGCCGATACCGTGGGGAAATTCAAATTCCCTCCCTGCCTCAGTGAGACCCTCGAATCCCTCTGGTTCCAGAGGTGAGACCACCAGCCCGGCTGCCTGAGCATGGCCCTCTAGACATCCCCTCTAGATAAAGCAGTTCCTGGGGCTGGCGCGATAGCCCAGCGGGGAGGGCGTTGGCCTGGCACGTGGCCGACCCGGGTTCGATCCCCGGCATCCCCTAGGGTCCCCCGAGCACCGCCAGGAGTGATTCCTGAGTACAGAGCCGGGAGTCAGCCCTGAGCATCGCCGGGTGGGACCCAAAAAGAAAACAAACAAACAAAAATGATGAAGCTGCCCCTCTGTTGGAATACCCCCTTTCTCATTCTTGGTTTATTTTTTTCCATGGAGCAAGACTGTTCATCCTTTTAGGGTTCAGCCCCACGTCCCCAGGGGGTGCGGGGAGAAGTCCCCCAGCCCCACGGGTCAGCCCACGGAAGCTGGGGACACTCAAGCTTGGGGGTCAGCAGGGGATGGGCACGCCAGCTTCAGTGAGGGACTTCAGGAGACTTAAGTGCAGGGTTTGGGGTCCCGGAGCCCCTAGAATGGGGAAGGCAAGGTAGGCGGAGGCTTCTCCGAGTGCCCAGGGGCCGGAGCGATAGCACAGCGGGGAGGGCGTTGGCCTGGCACGCGGCCGACCCGGGTTCGATCCCCGGCATCCCATAGGTTCCCCCCAGCACCGCCAGGAGTGATTCCTGAGTGCAGAGCCGGGAGTCAGCCCTGAGCATCACCGGGTGGGGCCC